TGGCAAGATTGACAGTGATTCATAACTGTTGCAATATCAAAACCACTTGAGCAAGAACCTCAGAGCATGCCCTACACCCGGGACTTGGGGAGGGTGGGAAATTGGGTGGGCCTGCTCCCTTAATACCCCCCTTTTAAACATGAAGGTAACAATATGGAAAAAAAAAATGCTATCGCAGATTTTTTTTCTTTTGGTTATCAGAATCAGAAAAATGGTCCCATTTAAAAAAAAGGCAGACATCATTTCCTGGTCAATTATTTTTTTAAAAAAGACATTTATTTAAAGGCAGATTTTGCAGAGTGGTCTTCTATCCCCTGGTTCACTCTCCAAGTGGCCATAACGGCTGGAACTGAGCTGATCTGAAGCCAGGAGCCAGGAGCTTCTTCCAGGTCTCAAGCACTTTAGCCATCCTCTAGTGCTTTCCCAGGCCACAACAGGGAGCTGGATGGGAAGTGGAGCAGCCGGGACAAGAACTGGCAGCCAAATGGTATGCCAACATGGCAGGCAAAGAATTAGCCTTCTGGGCCCGGCACCATAGCATAATGGTTAAAGTCCTTGCCTTGAACGCGCCAGAATCCCATATGGGCGCTGGTTCTAATCCCGGCAGCTCCACTTCCCATCCAGCTCCCTGCTTGTGGCCTGGGAAAGCAGTTGAGGACGGCCCAAACCCTTGGGACCCTGCACCTGCGTGGGAGACCTGAAGGGGACTGCCTGACTCCTGGCTTCGGGTTGGTGCAGCACCAGCCGTTGCAGTCACTTGGGGAGTGAATTATCGGATGGAAGATCTTCCTCTCTGTCTCTCCTCCTCTCTCTGTACTTCTGTCTTTCCAATAAAATAAATAAATCTTAAAAAAAAAATTAGCCTTCTATGCAACAGAGCTGGCCCCTTTCTGGTCAATTTTAGAAGTTGAGACATTCATGACTTGGCTGTATACAACAGGTGTCTACAACATGATCTCATATAGGGTAAAGAATCCATTTGCAGGTTGTCATTTGGTTTAGTGGTGAAGCCACTCATTAAGATGCCTGTAGCAGGCCCACGCTGTAGCCTGGAGGCTAAAGCCCTTGCCTTGAATGCATCCATATGGGCAGGATCCCATATGGGCACCAGTTTTAATCCTGGCAGCTCCATTTCCCCTGTAGCTCCCTGCTTGTGACCTGGGAAAGCAGTTGAGGACGGCTGAAGCTTTGGGACCTTGCACCCACGTGGCAGACCAAGAAGGGGCGCCTAGCTTTGGATAGGCTCAGCTCTGGCCATTGTTGCTGCTTGGGGAATGAATTAACAGACGGAAGAACATCCTCTGACTCTCATGCTCTTTCCAGTAAAAATAAAATGGAAGGAAGGAAGGAAGGAAGGAAGGAAGGAAGGAAGGAAGGAAGGAAGGAAGGAAAGAAGGTAGGTAGGAAGGTAGGAAGGTAGGAAGGTAGGAAGGTAGGAAGGTAGGAAGGTAGGAAGGTAGGAAGGTAGGAAGGTAGGTAGGTAGGTAGGTAGGTAGGTAGGTAGGTAGGTAGGTAGGTAGGTGCCTGTATCAGGACTGGCTTTGTGGAGCAGCAGGTAAAACCACTGCCTGTAACACTGCATCTTCCATGTAAGTGAGTGGGGTTGATTCCCCACCCTGGCTCCAGGCAGACTTTGTGCTAAGGCCGACTGTGGGAGGCTATGGTGACAGCTTACATCACTAGGTCTCTAGTTTCCCCATGGGAGACCTGTGCTGTGCTCCCAGCCCTGGCTGTCGCAGGTCTGGAGGAGTGACTCAGCCAATAGCAGCTCTCACTTGGTCTTTGTGATTCTCAAATAATTAAAAACATTTTTTTTCAGGATATTTGTTTTTATTTGAAAGGCAGAGTTACACAAAGAGGAGGTGAGACAGAGAAAGATCTTCCATTGACTAGCTTACTCTCCAATTGGCTGCAGTGGCTGGAGCTGGTCAGTCTGAAGCCAGGAGCCAGGAGTTTGTTCCAGGAGACCCTTGTGGGTACAAGAGCTCAGGAACTAGGGCCAGCCTCTGCTACTTTCCCAGGAAGCTGAATCAGAAGTCAATTTTTTAAAAGATTGCTTGTAATGACATCTATAATTCAGGCAGGCGTAGAGACAGTGAACTCACTGTCTACTCCCCAGATACCTGCAGTGAGCAGGAATGAAGACAGTGCACATCTCCCTTGTGGGCGGAAGGGATTCGGCCATCAGTCAGTACCTGCTTCATGCCAGGTACTAAGCTGGACTCGGCAGCCAAAGCCGGGAATTTAACCTGGGCACTCTGATAACAGCTGTGGACATCTTAACTGCTACGCCAAATGGCCATGTCCAAAATAATGCATTTTGAAAAATTACGGTGTAGGGGTCAGCATGGTGGTAGAGCAGGCTAATCCCTCTGCCTTTGGTGTCAGCATGCTATATGGATGCTGGTTCAAGTCCCAGCTGCTCTACTTCTGATCCAGCTCCCTGCTAATGAACTGGGAAAACAGCAGAGGATGCCTCTGAAGCCGTGGGCTCCTGCACTCATGTGGGAGATCCAGAAGAAGCTCCTGGCTCCTGGCTCCAGAGAAGCCAATCTCCGGTCAGTACAACCATTTGAGAAGTGAACCAGCAGACGGAGGCGCTCTCTGTCCTTCTGTGTCTGTAATTCTTTTAGGTAATGATTTTGTAAAAAAAAAAAAAAAAAAAAAAAAATGTATATATATGTGTGTGTGTGTATGGTGTGGTTGAATAATTAATTAATGTACATTAGACAGATTTTAAAAAAAATTAGCTCCCCTCCACTGGACTGTGTTAGTTCCTAATTACATAAAGTGGCCAGCCGTGAGCCCAGCCCAGAGCTAAGAGCTCGCTCCAGGTTGTCTGCATCGGTGGCCAGTACCCAGCCACATGATGGACTGTCCCGGGGCCGTGGGCTGCTGGACACCTCGGCACGCTGACAGGTCTGGGTGTAATACCTGGAGTCTTACCTACTAGGCTAGGTAGCTGTTCTTTAAAAAGGACCTGAGTATGCATTCATGAGGAAAATGGGCACTGGGTTACCACAGGGCACTGGTTTGAATGACATTTTAGAACAATAATGGACTTTGACTAAAATTTTTGTATGTGGTAGAATTCCAAATAATACTAATCTTGCCTACTGAGTCAAGGGAAAAAAGAATGTGGTAATAAAGTGTAAAGCATCTCCTTAGATGTGTAAAGGAATGTTATCAGCTTTTCATTACTTTAACTAAAATACTCAAGGCAAGCTTCTTGGGAGAGACAGGGTTTCTTCCGGCTTACTGTTTGCAGGTCACCGGTCAGGACCAGGCAGCCCCGTGCGTCTGGCAGTTAGTGAAGGCCAGCCGTGGTCGGGTGTGTGTAGAGAGGCAGTCACATGGTTAACTCCGGAAGAAGAGAGAAGCTGGGCCTCACTTAGCCTGAATAGGATCCCTGAGCCCTCGGGTGAGAACTTCCTTCTGAGCGCCAGCCCTGCCCACAGGCCTCCCCACTGCCACCATTAGATCAGTCGTAATCCATCCGCCTTTAGAATGAAGAGTTCAGAGTTTCAGCAGCCACATCAGCTTGGGAAACCAAGCTCTGCAGAATGCGTAACAGGGAAGCACCAAATTCCAAGGCTTTAAAAACACATGTCTGCTCACAGGAGCCTTATGTATTTGAGTGTATCTTCTGTTTAGTTGCTGTAAACAGTTCAGGAAAAGCTGTGGGGAAAGGCTAGAGGGATCTTGGAGTTTTACATTTCCTGGGTAAGGAAGATTGTTTTCATAATGTATAACTTCCAGGAAAACACACAGTGAAGCAAACTCTGGCTGAAAGAAATTTTGTTTATGGAACTGTGGCTTGGAAGGGTGACCAGTGTTTTAACCAGAAAACCTAGAAGATGGCTGAAGAGAACTTCCATGCTGGCAGACTCTAACTTTTCTGTTACAGTTCTGTAAAAAAAAAAAAGTGCTCTGTATAATACTGCTTGATTTATTTTACATAAATTCATCTACCTAGACTTTCTAACATTATCTACTTATTATAGTTCACTTGATCTTGACTTGTGTTTGTATTAGAATTACATAAAACTTCCTGTCTCAAGATAGTGTAAGAATTCAGTGTATATACTCAAGTTTTAAGCTGGATCATAGTTGAGGAGTGAACCAGCAGATGGGAGTGCATGCTCTCAATTTCTTTTAAAAGTGCTTCATGAATACCTTTTGGGGCCCAGTGTGATAGCCTAGTGGCTGAACTTCTCATCTTGCATGCACCGGGATCCCATATGGCCACCCGTTCTAATCCCCATGGCCCCACTTCCCTTCCAGCTCCCTGCTTGTGGCCTGGAAAAGCAGTGGAGCATGGCCCAAAGCCTTGGGGCCCTGCACCCATGTGGGAGACTTGGAAGAGGCTCCTGGCTTCCGATTGGCTCAGCTCCAGTGGTTGTGGCCACTTGGGGAGTGAACCAACAGATGAAAGAGCTTTCTCTGTCTCCTCCTCCTCTCTAAATCTGCCAATAGAAATAGATAAATCCTTTCAAAAAATACCATTTGAGTCAGATTAGGAGGCAAATATACAATGTCAGACATCCCATCTTTAATTCTTTAGGTAAAATTTTGCTTCCCTTCTCCTGGCGTCGCTGTAAGGGGTTTCACCTTCCTTGCCTATTGTGGTGGACGTCTAGTTTTCTGGGGAGGTTGGAATGTTGGCATGGGGCTCAGCTGGCAGGGCTGTGAGGAACAGTGGGCAGCTTCGACGCCCGTCCCGGAGCTGCAGGGCCTCTCCTCCCACCGTGACTTTAGGCCGACAGGGGAGTCGTGCTCCTGTCTCCCCTCCACATCCTCATCTGAGTTGAAGAGGTCAGCTGAGGAGACCAGGATGAGTCCCAGAAGCACTTCTGTGGATTCTCAACTTAGTTTTATATAACAAGAATTTCATCTTGCTGTGTGGGGAGCCTGGGCTGCTGCTTGCCCGGCGCGTCCCCTCCTCTTTGGCTGGAGGCAAAGCCTCCCCATGACTGACCAGTGTTTCTGTTTGTTCCAAGGGGCTACCAGCAGCAGGATGCCCATGAATTCATGCGCTACCTTCTGGACCACCTACACTTGGAACTCCAAGGCGGGTTCAATGGGGTTTCCCGCTCGGCAATTCTGCAGGAGACTTCTACTCTGTCTACAAGTAGCAAATGCTGCATGTAAGCTTGTTTCCATTTGTTTTTTAGCAGCGGTGGTATCCTGTGCTAGGTCTCCAGTGGAAGGTGGAAGAAGTTCTGGCTTATTTGCTGAAGCTCCTGGGCACTTGACCTTGTGACCAGGCGTGCTAGCACATCATCCTTGCCTGCGCACCAGAGGCCTGTTGCGTTTGCATCTTGGTGTAATTAAAAAGCATAAAGTAATTGTTTCTTGTCTTAAAGATTTTCCTCCAAATGTAATAAGTAATGTCTGAGGCTTAATTTTCATGTATTAAAAAGCCTCCCCATCTTTTGAACCTGACTCTATCTCAAGTTTGATTTTGAAGCTCAATTTTCTCTTGTCCCTCCTTTGATGTTCCTTTGAGGTCCTCACAGACTGAGTGCTGACTGAGAGCAGAATGCTTCTTTTCCTTGAGAAAGGAATGATTCAATGTTTCTGCCTGGGTTTCGATCAATTATAATTTCCTTTTCACATTTGTAGAACGATCTTCTTAGTATTGACCTATACAGAAAAAGAATTTAAAAGAAACAAAGATAGATGGGTCATCACTGCATATGGGTGGTTGTACTGCTTGGCAGCCCATAAATCTGACTGCACCAGAATGGCTCATTTCAGTGGCAGAACCACGTCATGACTGATGTGGCAGCAGAGACTGGCAGGGTGAGCTGCCATCCCTGCACAGTGGTCCCCTCCATACTGGTAGCTGTGGTTCTAAATTAGAGTTCAGTGACTGGGTAGAATTTTCTTTCTGCTAGTATCAAACTACAAATAGTTCAGAATGAAAAATCTATGTGAAAAAATGTGTATTCTATTGTGCTATATTTATACACCAAGGATATAAATCAGGTTTAAGGAAAGTCTGCAGGAAGCAAAGGGTATGTGGTTGTGTTCTATATGGTGCCCAGGGAATCCTCCAGCAACCAACTGAGGGATGCCCATAAGGTTTTCCTTTAGTTAAAATGAATTTTCGGCATTAAGTTTTATACCCTTTCATGACATTTCTTAAAAAAAAAAAAAAAAGATTTATTTTTATTGGAAAGGCAGATTTAAATAGAGACAGAGTGAAAGATCTTTCATCCACTGGTTTGTTTCCCAAGTGGCTACAATGGCCAGGGCTGAGCCAATCCGAAGGCAGGAGCCAGGAGTCTCTTCCGAGTCTCCCACGCAGGTGCAGGGTCCCAAGGCTTTGGGCTGTCCTCGACTGCTTTCCCAGGCCACAAGCAGGGAGCTGGATGGGAAGTTTAGAGCAACCAGGACATGAACTCTTATCCAGATGAGATCCTGGGCATGCAAGGTGAGAATTTAGTCACTGAGCCATCATGCTGGGCTCTTTTCAGGACAGTTTAAAGAGCAGTATTTGTAATTTCTGTTTAGACAGAAACAGAAAAGGCTTATCAAATATTATAAGTTGCTTTCCTGAATGCTCTTCCAAGAAGACATGTCACTTGTAAAGGTATTTTCCAAAACTAGAAAAAGGTGCCCGTGCTGACACAGCCACCCCTACTAAAGGCTGCATGGTGTGGGTGGGAAGGCAGCTGTGTTCTTTTCTTACAAAAGACCTGGTTAGAGACCAGTGTTGTGGTACAGTGAGTGAAGCTTCTGGCTGTGACATGAATGTCCGTATTGTAGTGTCTGCTCCACTTCTGGTCCAGCTTCCTGCTAATGTGCTTGGGAAGGCAATGGAAGATGGCTTTAGTGCTCAGGCCAGCCGCCCCTGTGGGAGACACTGGATGGAGTTCTGGGCTCCCGCCTGCAGCCTAGCCCAGCTCCAACTGCTGCAGACATTTGGGGAGTAAACTAGTAGATGGAAGATCTTCATCTTGATCTCTCTTTACCTCAGTAATATTTGAAATAAAAAAAGTTGCTTCCAAGAGTTGTTTGGTAGGATCTATTCACTCCAACACTGCAGGAGTTTTAGTCTGGAATGGCTCAGAAAATGCAGTTCAAAGGAGCATGTACTGTCTCAGGTAACGGCATCAGACAGAAACCTGACATCACCTCGGCATCCGCTCAGGAGCAGCCCAGCCTTAGCAGCAGCTGCTCCGGACAAAGCAGCTGTGTCGCCCAAGGCCACACTTCCTTCATGCCAAATGGGGATAGCAGTGTCTACTTTGCAGGACTGTTGTGGGGACTTACTGGTCTAGCAAGTGGAAATGCAGAGAGTGAAGCAGGCCTTTAGCAAATGTTGTATCATTGCCTTTGCTCAGCTGTTCTGCCATCCGTACCTGTGACACACAGGCAGCTGGGAGAAACAGCAGCACACCTGTACACGGTACATATCCATGGCCACAAAGATGAGCAGGAAGCAGGCGCAATTTGATCACGCATTAGTGGTACTGCGGCCAACGCTCCAAGTGCTTTCTCGTGGGGCAGCTTGGCCTAACTTGGGTCACTTTCAGCCCAGCCCCTCGGGCAGGTCCTCTGCCTCCTGTGTTACATGTGATGGGGCTCAGGGGGAGGGGAAGTCAGGGTAACTGCTTTATTTTGTTTTGGTTATTGTTCTCGAAGTGATGTATTCCTGATTCCCACAAGGAAATTATTTATAGTATCATTTAAGAGCCATTAAGAGGCACAAAGAGAACTTCAGATGTGAGCATAGGGGCTAGGCCTGGGCCAGACCTGGGAACTTCATCTGGGGTCTGCTACATGGATGAAGGGACCCATGGACTTGAGCCATCACTGCCTCTTGCAGGGCTGCGAGGAGCCAGCTTGGTCAGGAGCCAGAGCCTCTGGGTGTTTAGCTCAGTTCTCCTCAAGTGTTGTAGCATGGGTACCCTGCCTGCCTGTCTAAGCCCCATCCACCCAGGATCACTTTATGTGAGCAATAGTAGCAGTTACAACTGTGAGATCCTATCTCGATAGTAATGAGTAAACGTATGTTAGACTCCTTTACTGCTTTTCCACAAATATGTGTGATGATGGTCTAAAAAAAGTCAAATGATTTCAGATTGAGGATATTGTGCAAAGTTGGGTAACCACAAAAATTCCCTGTAACATGAAAGGGCGGGCCAAGATGCAAACACAAGGCAGTTCTCTTGTTCTGAGGGATATTTGCAGGGCAGGGAGGGGTATAATCAGAAGGGCCCCTCGCCCTGCATCGTACCCAGTCACTGCTGTTGCAGCAGAGGGCACTATGGGTCACCGCTGACGAAGCAGTGGGATCGGAAGAGGGACTTGAGGGCACCTGGCGGCTTAGACTTTACTCTGCTGACGACATGCCTACGTCACTAGAGACAAACCTGAAGGGCTTTTGTTTTTTAAATATTGGGATGTGTTTTAACTGAAATTGTTTCATATGTGGTAATTTCCCTAGAAATGGAGCATCTACTGTTGTTACGGCTATATTCGGAGGCATTCTCCAAAATGAGGTTAACTGCCTCATATGTGGGACAGAATCTAGGAAGTTCGACCCGTTCCTAGGTAAGACATCTCTGCTGTGTGGATAGATAAAAAATAGAGAAATCTTCAGAAACATTGAAATTATTTTCAGAATGTATTTCCGTGTCTTTAACAGCTCTCTGCCTTTTTACCTTCTTTTAAGACCTTTCATTGGATATTCCAAGTCAGTTCAGGAGTAAGCGCTCTAAGAATCAAGAGAGCGGGCCGGTTTGCTCATTACGAGGTAAGGAAACTTTCCTGTCCTCACCTTGTGTTTGTGAGCTCCGTCTGTATTGCTATGTGATTAATATCTTTAATGAATCTGCATTGTAACTAAAAATGTCACCGCTGCATGGATTCTGCTCCCATTCAGTCAGGGTGTCTGCCACGAGATACGAGGAAGGCGCAGAATACTGCTCCACCTGCTGTTTGTTAATATTGGCTTCAAAATTAAAGTTTAAACAAAGTTAAAGGTGAAAAAAACCAATTTCTGTGGCTGCCCCGCTGCGTCAGTAGGAAGGATGCACTGATGAAGTGATGGTGCGTGAGTCACGGTGTCAGTCTTTGATAGGGACAGTATTTTGAGGAATCTGTTGACACAACTATTGCTTTTAACTGAGCCTGTTAACATTTACGTTGGGAGATTTTGGCTTTGGTTTTTACATCTCTTTTTAAAAAGACTTTGTTTTATTTTTTATTGCAAAGTCAGATATACAAAAGGGAGGAGAGACAGAGAGGAAGATCTTCCATCTGATGGTTCACACCCCAAGTGCTTGCAACAATTGGAGCTGCACCAATCTGAAGCCAGGAGCCCGGAGCCTCTTTCAGGTCTCCAATGCAGATGCAGGGTCCCAAGGCTTTGGGCCGTCCTCAACTGCTTTCCAGGCCACAAGCAGGGAGCTGGAAGGGAAGCGGGGCTGTTGTGATTCGAGCCGACGTCCATATGGGATTCCGGTGCATGTAAGAAGACTGGCTGCTAGGCTATTGCGCTGGGCCCTAGTTTTTAGATCTTAAGAGTTTATCCTTGACTATCAGTGTGTAGGTAAATCACAGTTAAAATGACTCATTACTACTGCTAGTCATTTAAAGAAATTAGGATCAACAAAAGAAACCCTAGTCTGTTTCTTATTTTGTTTTTGAACATTGAAACTAGTAATATCCACCCTGAATTATATATTCTTGAACAATAATTCTCCAGCAGTTGGCGCTGCAGAAGATGACTTAAGCCACTGCCTGCAGTGCAGCATCCCGTCCCCGAGTGCTGATTCCAGTTCTTGCTGCTCTGCTTCAGATCCAGTTTCCTAGTGAAGTGCGTGGGAAGGCGGTGAAAGGTGGTCCAGGTGCCTGGCTGCCGCCCTCTGGATGACCAGGACGGAGCCCGTGGCTGCTGGCTTTGGCCTGGCCTTTTGCAGTGAAAGGAAAATTCTCTCCTTTTTGAAAAAAATGTTCAAGAATGTTTCAGACATATATTTGAAAGATTGGGCATTTTTAGGGAGTATTTAATGCTTCATGTGTAGCTCAACAAACTTCCGGTTCTGTTTTTATCGGCAGTGAGCCAGTGAGCTCTTGTTTGCTGGTTCACTTGCCAGATGGGCTGGGCCAGGGCTCGAGGCAGGAAGCAGGAGTGCCACCCGGGTCTCCGTTACTGGAGCCAGCTCCCCCGCCTCCCAGGGCCTTCCTACCTAGTGGGAAGCCAGGGACAGGTGCCTCGATCAGAGACCCAAGCGTTTTGTTCATTAGGCTAAATTCACACTCCAACACCTATAACTTTTAAAACAAGAAAGTGCACTGCCAAGTAGGATGGCCCCAAGTCATGTGTGAGTTGATGGATGTAAACTATATAAAACATGCAGTCATTCACACTAGCCACGATTTAGGTATTGAGTAACAAGCACTGCAGAAAGTTGTACCGCACAGTGCTACACTAAAAGCAGATTATACAGTGGAGCAAGAAACCTGTGCAAGAGACAGGCTTCCCCGTGCTGTGGGCTGCGTGAGGCATTCAGTAAACCTGCTCAAGGGAGGCAGCAGAGGTCTAGCCTGTGGCCCAGGTAGTTTCTGGAAGTGGGCCAAGGGGTGCCTGTGATACACTACGAGATGAGAGCAACAACTGTGTGAGAACAGTCTGAGGGCTCAGGGTGCTCCCCACCTACCATGGAGTGCGAGCTGCCTCCTTGTAAGAGGAGCACAAAAGGGACCAGTGGGAAGCCCCACCCATTTCACTGGCCCCCACAATTTGTGGCTATAGTATCCTTCTCCAACTGGTTTTGGCCTATTTCAGATCAAATATATTATGATATATATTTTTAAAGATTTATTATTATTGGACAATCAGATATGCAAAGAGGAAGAGAGACAGAGGAAGATCTTCCGTCTGATGATTCACTCCCCAAGTGACCGCAACGGCTGGAGCTGAGCCAATCCAGAGCCAGGAGCCTCTTCTGGGTCTCCCACGCGGGTGCAGGGTCCCAAAGCCTTGGGCTGTCCTCGACTGCTTTCCCGGGCCACAGGCAGGGAGCTGGAAGGGAAGCGGGGCTGCCGGGATTAGAACTGGTGCCCATATGGGATCCCGCGCGTTCAAGGCGAGGACTTTAGCTACTAAGGCTATCATGCTGGGCCCTGTGATATTTTCTTAATGTCAAATGTACTATCACTTTGTTTTCATTTGCAGGACATGTGAATATGTCAATTTACTCAAACAAGCACTTGTTCGTGGACAGTGGAAACCAGTCACAGTTAAATTATTAAAGGATTTGGGGAGCCTCAGACCATGGTATTATAACAGGGATTATAACTTCATCAATTCTTCAATAAGAGTATCAGTCTTTGTTTTTTAAAAACAGTTTATTATATATTTAAGTGAATGTGACAAAAATGCAGAGGATCTTTGTGTAGAGGAGCCAGAGACCCTGGCTTGTTCTGGCCTCTTTGTTGTTCGTGATGCTCCGCCTGCTGTGTCTGTGTCCTGTCCCGAGTTAGACCTGTGGTGGTTAGTCTTAACTTTTAGAAAGAGTTAGGGAGCTTCTGTTTGTTAACTTACTCCCCAAATGGCCTCAGTGGCTGGGGTGAAGCTAGGAGCTTCCTGTGAGTCTCCCACATGAGTGCAGGGGACCAAGGACTTAAGTCAGGCGTTTAGCAAGGAGCTGGATCAGGAATGGAGTAGCCAGGACGTGAACTAGTGCCCATATGGGATGGGAGCATTGCAGGCAGAGGCTTTATCTGTTGTAAGCGTTGGCCCCTTACAGTTAATTTTTAACTTGTTACATGCTTCTGTCAGCTTAACCAAGTTGATGGCAGGGTCCAGTAATTCTGCATCCTCTCTTGGCTTGCTGCTCTTCTCAGTTAAGGGCACTTGCTGGAGTCCCTGTGTATGGTGAACAGCAGGTAACGCGTGCACACAGCTTTGTTAACTGCAGATGGGGATGCATACATCTTGCACAAGTGTCACATGTACTTGACAGGAACTACCTGCGTGTTGTATCAGTCAGTAATGGTTAAGATGAGTTTTTATTTAAAATTGAAGAGTGAAGAGAAACAAGCCTGGGGTTTGAAGTTAAAAGTTTGCATTTAAAAGACTCACATCAGTCCAGTTCTAAAACCTGACAGATACTACTGAAAGGGTGTGGATGACATTGTGGCACAGTGGTTAAGCTGTCACCTAGAGTGCAAGCCAGCATCCCATGAGTTTAGGACCAGCTTCTCCACCTCTGATCCAGTTCCCTGTTAATGCACTTGGGCAAGAAGTGGAATACTGCCCGTGTGGGGGGCGCTTTCTATGTATGTAGGAGACTGGATGGAGTTCTTGGCTTCTGGCTTCAGCCTGGCTCAGTCCCAGTTGTTGCAGCTCTTTGGGGAGTAAACTAGCTACTGGAAAATTCTCACTCATATTCTTTAACTTTGACTTCCAATTAAGCAAATCTTGAAAAAAATAAAAAAGCAAGTACAGCTCAATCTCACATTATAAATGCAAGAATAGTAAATAGAATGCTAGCAAATAATGCTAGTGTGTTTACAATGCTAACATAGAGAAATATACACAGATCAAGTAGGAGTTAAACACTGATTCAGTATTAGAAAATATAATGTATTAGAAAAAAAGTCAAAATTCTCAAATTGATTTTAATAAAACTCCACATCAATTACTAATTAAAGGAAGAAGAAAGTAACTTACTAAGCCAGAAGTGGAAATGTTAACTTGCTGAGGCTGTCAGCGGTCACTGGAGCTAATGGGGAAGCAGGGATAACCCTCCACGCAAGTGGCACAAGCCAGGCACGGCCTGCACGGATGCTGCCATTCAAAGGACAAGGATGAGAAGTAAGACTCAATCAGGGAAGTCAAACGTCAAATGATCAATGTTGGCAGAGGAACTGTTTACATACCTGGATTATTTTTTGAAATCAGATGAAAAATTATGAGAGCATTTTGAATAGTTATTGTCCCGAGACTTGCTTTTCCGGGAGCATCAATTTGTTTCTTTTAATCAAAGATATTACTTTGACAAGTTTTAAGCATGGAGTTAAAAAGTGTAGGATAGCAGCCACATACAAAAAGCCACCCTTCCCCCTCAAGTTGCTTTTCTATGCAGAGAAAAAGGATCTATGAACTGTAGCGTAAGAAAAAGGACGGATCAGCCCTGGAGAGAGCACGCTGTAGTTTTGGGTGGGAAGACACACTATGCTGGAGAGGTCAGTTTTCTCCAAGGGTATTTCTTAACCTTAGTCTGACTTGTTCAGAACTTCCTCTGGAGGCAGAAGTTCTTGGGAGGAGCTGAGAAGGTTTTTGAAGTAGATAAAGGAATGGGATAGAGATAGGGAAACGTTTCTAGAAGTGCTAAAATAGGAGATCCCGGTACAAACATGTACATGGGAATTTGTTACGTGACAAAGAAAACGGTTCAAATCAGTGTGGAAAAGAAGACATTAGTAAGTGACATTAGTGTATATGAGTAACATTGTGAAAACATTCATTTCACCACTACTTCAGATTTTAACATGTTACGTAAGAGTACAGCCAAGGCCAGAGCCTACAAAGCAAGTATAGAGCATGCCATTTGGTCTGGCCCTGCCAAGGCAACTGCAGGCTTCACTTGAAATTCAGTAACTCTGTGGCAGGCTAATTTTTGTTGATAATTTTGCACAACACGTGAATGATATTACAAATATCCAAATGGCCATTGGCAGAAAAATGATTCCCACCCATAACAGGAAAGAGATCAGAGATTTAACTATATAATAGTGGTGGCCACTGGAAAAATGGAAAGGAAATAAAACTTAAAAAAAAAAACTTGTAACAAAAATATTTGATGGAGAATACCTCCCATTTCTCTGTAACTGTCTTCAAATAAGTAAATATTTTTACAGTGTGTTTGAGAGGTAGGTGGCAGGAAGGGAAGGAGGAAGACTCATCTTTGATTTGCTGGTTCATTTCCCAAATGCTCCCACACGGGTAGCAGGAGGCCGAGGCCACAAGCCGTCAGGAAGCTGGACCAGAGGCAGAGGGGAACTTGTTCTCAGGCTGTGATGCAGCAGGTGGGACTAGGGAGTCTGGATGGAGTATATGAATGAAAGGAAATACAGATGGCCACTGGTACATCCTAAGAATGATTGGTTACAGTTAAGGAAATGGAAGTGAAACAAGGTGGGCCAAGAGGCTAGATAACTGTCCTTGGGATGGGGCACTCAGGGGATGTTACTGTTTGAAGTGCAGATTGGTACCATGGTGATCTACCTGAAGGGCAGAGTTGTGATCAACATCTTTATAGGCATTTCCTTACAGACAATAATTTTACTTACAAACATGAACAATATGGAAGGTATTCATTAAAGCAGTATTGTAAGAATCAGTTACATAACAAAGAGTTGAGCAGTAACTATTCCATTGGAACAGATTTTTCAAATAGTAAAATGTCAGTTGTCCCATTAGTTAGGAATATGCTGTTATCTTGGCAGTGTTCCTCTTAAAGAAATGTGTATGTCTTAATAATTTTCCTTATTGCCAAGAAACATGTGAATTGTAGAATTTGGGAGAAATTTTAAAAAGAGCACATATGTCCAAGACACATTGTGTGGTTAAGGGCTTTTATGCACTGTGATTTAAAAATTGTTTCTTAAATAGTCAGCAGTTAGAACCTGGTAATAATGCAAGGTGGTGGCAGAGTGGGCTCTCTCAGTGCAGCCAGGGTGTAGCTGCTGCTGCTGCTGTTGGAACTCCCTGGCAGTGGAGCTGGCATTGTAACACCGCCAGTTAAGCCACTGCTTGCAACTAGTGCTTGAGTTCATTCATCCTACTCTTTGAGTCCTGGCTGCTCCACTGGGCAGAAATAAGCTGAGGGACCTGAGGGTGGTGGCTGTCTGAGGTGAAGCATCTCAGGGAGTTGAGGGGGAGTGGAGAGCTGGCGCAGGATGCTGGGAGGAGGCCAGGACAGGAACAGGGTACACAGGTGTGTGTGGGGGGGTGCTCAGGACTGCCACTGGGTGGTTGCCAGAGTCACAGCAGGGAGCACTCCTGCATTCTGACATTTAGGCTTCGACTCCACGTGAGCTACTGTGACATGTTGAGCAGATCCTTGAGATGAGAGGTTCTAAATAACCCCCGGTGGGCCCAGAGCTGCGTGCCTGTGTACACCTGGGAGGTGCCACAGTCCCAGCCTCAGCACTGCAGTGCGTGCTAGGTTTTCTAACATTTTCAAGTTTCAATACTCTATTTTATGTACCACATTTTATCCATTAATCTCTTGCTGGCCCAAGGATGTCAGGCACATTTTGGCTATTGTAAACTGTGCTACCATGAGCATGGTGGCTTGGCACTTGGTTGAGTGGATGCACTCCTACATTGCTGCATTGCCTGTTGTGTGAGGACCAGTCAGACTCTGCTTCAGAGGCTGCAGCATCTCCCACACCACACGGGGATCCACTGTCCTGTGCCAGCTGCAGTCTGGAGGCAGGCGTTGTGGTGCGGCAAGATGCTGAGATGGACATGTCAGCATCCCTCCCCAGAGTCCCAGGGTCAAGTCTTGGCACCTCTGCTTCCAATGCAGCTTTCTGCACTGTGCCTGGAAGGCAGAGGATGGAAGCCCACAGCTCCCCAAGTGGGGACTGAAGTGACTTCCGGCTTCGACCTAACCTGGATCTGGCTGTCGTGGTCATGGATGCTGGTAAACCGGCAGCTGCAGGCTTGCTCTGTCATTAGACCTGCCCCCCCCCCTTAAGAAAGGTGTCTGTAAACCTTGCTTTGCATTTGAATTTCCCTAATAACTTAGTAATGTTAATTATCTTTTGATATGCTTACTGGCTATTTTTTTGTCTTCAAAGAAAAACCATTCCAGGTGTTTGCCCTGTGGTTGGTTTTATTGCCTTGGAGTTGTAGTTCTTTACTTGTGATGCTTAGTCAAACCTTTTCAAACTTACTTATGTTTCCATTCTTCTCATACTGTCCCAAGATGTACGAATTATAATTTTGATAAATTCCAACTAACTCAGCTTTTTCTTTGCATGTGTTTGATGTCCTAGGAAATTATTACCATGTGCAATGATGGGGAGCTTTTCCCCTGAGGGTTTATAAAACCTGGGCATCTTCTGCCAGGCCTGATGACTTGATTTGGTACTTGGTGCAACATTTCTTTAGCATGCCGTTGGAAGAACTGCTCTCTCTTCTCATTGACCTGTGTTGCTGTTCTCCTCTGAAAAAAGCCCACAGCTGAGAGTCACTGTTGAGGGCTGACTAGTCACTGTTTGTCCCTGAGCCAGGACTTTTGTCCCTTGGGGTCCCCTGAGCATCTGTAGCAAGCACACACTGCCCACTAACTCTGTCGTGCTGGTGCAGATGCAGTTGTCTTCATTTCCTTTTAGGAATATAGAAACATTTTTGTGTCTTTTCATTAGATTTCCTGCTCTTAAAAATGTTAATTTTCATGAATTAAGTTCACAAATTCATTTTTTCATGATTTTAAGCATTTGGTGTTGCTCCTTAAATATGACTGGCAAATCTAGGTTTTCTTCTGTGTTCTCTTGTGTTCCCTAGGAGTTGTGTAGTTCTGAGTTTTACAGGTAAGCTTTGTTTTATTCTGAACTGAGTTTGTGTCCTCCTCCAGCCACCTCGTCCTGACAGTCTCCCTTCTTGTCAGTGACTGCACTTGTGCTTCTGTTGTGTTGGTTAGCTTGCCTTCAGTGCTTTAATCCCTGCGCCTCTACAGTGAGTCTGAGCAGTATCAGCCTTCCAGTCTCATTCCTCTCCTACAGTATGGTTTTTGTCTTTTAATATCTCCTAAATTTTCTTTCAGCAATAGTTTGTAGTTTTCTGGTACAATTAAAATCTTTCCCTAATATTTTTTATTTTCCATATAGGATCATGTCATCTGTGAACTGAGATGATTCTGCTTTTCCTCTTTTGATACTTTTTTTTGTTTCTTGTTTGCTCTGAAACTTCTGTCCTTGTCTTGTTCCTCGTTTTAGGGGAGAGCTGGGAGTTTCCATAGATGGCCTTTCTCATGCTGAAGTTGTTCTTTCCCTAGTTTAAGTGTTTAGATGCTGATTTTAAATGTGGGTGATTCCATTTTTTCTTTCTTCACATCTCTCTCTCCTCTGTCCCTGTCTCAGGTATGCTATAGGGAATGTAAGGTTGGAACAGTTGTACCCTCCTGGGCACTGGCCTTGCCATAAGACACAAAGTTGCTAGTGTTGTATTCCTGGGCTCTATTTGGACGGAAATCAAACAAAGAATGGTCACTGTGCCCTGGAGCTTGGAACTGGCTCCTGGAAAGGAGAGTGGAGGCAAGGCAGGGCTGGGAGCTACAACCTCCTGGGCATGGTCACAAAAGCAGCAGCCCCTTGGTGCCCGCCCAGTACCCAGCTCCCACCTGAGCCCTTCCAGACCTCGTTCCTGCTAACTCCCCTGAAGGGATTCTTTCTGAAACTGGTCTTCTGGAAGCTGAAGCTGGCTTGGTCTAACCAGCCACCCACACAGGTTCCCAGCATATAGATCCTGGCTCTTGAAATCCTAGGGGGAGTGTTTCTTCCCAAGGGGGGACACAGGGCTTTGAGGTTTTTTTTCCTTTAAAAGCAGTAACATGTGTTTTGTATTATGTCTCTGACTGTGACTGGTGGTGTGCAGAGTTGGCATATTTCTCCTGTAAGGGACAAGGGAGTGACTATTTCAGGCTTGCAGCACATGGTCTCTGCCTCACCCACACTGCACACACAGGGCATGGCTGTGCCCTGACGAAACTTTACCAAACCAGGTGGCTGCTGGCTTAGGGCCCTTGTTTATGAACTAATCCTTACAAGAAGAAAGTGTAGCTGTTGTGGCTGTTGGGGATTAAACAGTCTGCACAAAGGGTTCCTTGGGGTCTAGGAGGAGGTATAGTCATTTATATCTTAGTTATGGCTGCAAATGTTCATTTAAAACTTTTTAAATGCTTAAGTGCTTTGTCTTCTATAATGTAACATATTGAGAGAACTGCCATTAAAACTTTGATTTGATCAGCAAAGTTAATCAGAAGGTGCTGTGCACACACCACTGTGCTCACAAGCAGATACTATGTGTGTGGTTTGCAACTGAAAAAGGAGTTTCTGAGGTCTGTGGGCACTAGCCGAGAGTTCCTGCTGCGCCGTTCAGCCTCACAGTTCACGTTTTAGTCTATGATAAACTGCATCAGTAAACATCTTATTTAAATGCTGGAAAAATTGATTTGGTTTTAGATTGTCTCCGAAGTTTTACCGACTTGGAAGAACTCGATGAGACAGAGTTATATATGTGCCATAAATGCAAAAAGAAGCAAAAGTCCACAAAAAAGTTTTGGATTCAAAAACTACCCAAGGTAAGTGTAGAATTGCAGGTTCTGAGGCCTGTTATAGGGCAGGGGAGGCCTGTGCCTGCCCATGTGAGCTGCTCCAGGGTAGCCTCTCGACCTTGGGAGAAGGCAGAAGGCACATGGGAAGAAATGACAGGTCAGAAAAGTGACAGGGCACCCCCTGTGTTTGGGGGATACTAGTACGGGCAGCCACTGGCAAGGCAGGTATTTGGTCACAGTGTCTGTGTGTGTCTGACCCACAGGTGCTCTGCTTGCATCTGAAAAGATTCCACTGGACAGCGTACTTAAGGAACAAAGTGGACACATACGTAGAGTTTCCACTGAGAGGCCTAGATATGAAATGCTACTTGCTGGAGGTAAGGTGCTCACACTTTGCCATCCAAGGCTTCACGCACAGAGGCTGCCGAGGCACATCCTCCCAGGGCCTCCCGACCACTGCTCCTAACTCATCCTGGGGATGCCTCTTCTTGTTCCGCAGCCTGAGAACAGCGACCCTGACAACTGCCTGTATGACCTTGCCGCGGTGGTGGTGCACCACGGCTCTGGGTGAGTGTGCCTGTGCCACCGGTTGGGTGGGAAAGCCTGTCAGCCTTGTTTGGTCTCCCCACACTCCCCAAAAGTGGACTCAGATGCCTTCCAGGGAGTGGAAGCCAGCTTCCCTCCCCTGCTGGCAAGGAGAGGAATCTGCTGAGTTGGGGCAAGTTCAGAGCTGCTTCTGTTTGAACCTTGCATTGCCAATCCACAGGGCGTAGTCACTCCCCTGGGTGGCCGAGCTTCCTGGGGGAGGACGGGAGTAACCACTGGGAAGGACCCTTGTGTCATTGACTCTTCCCCCTCAGTTTGTGTCGGGGACGGATTTCTTCTGATTTTTGTTCTGTGTAACCTCCAAACTTAAACTGTTGCTATTGGGCCTACTACTACTCAGGTTTAAACCCTTTTCTTTCAGAACTGTGCAGCCCCATCTCCACTGTCATGGGTGAACACAAGTCTGAAGCTCCTTTTGAGGCAGTCTGTTTGCATTGTGGTTGGTTTCCTTTTCTCTCGAGGAGCTTGCAGGAACCCCAGTCCTTGGACTTAAGATATAGCTGCCATTTTCCCATTTGGTAGTTTGGTTTTCAGCTCCTGGAATTGCATGTCTATTCTCTCCCCACCTCTCCAAGTTGCCTTCCACGTGCTGAAAACTGTTCTGTAATGACTTAGTTCTGTTCCCCACATCACTAACTTGGGTCTCACCTGTTTCCCCACTGGAGCACAGCATCGCACTGCTTCCGGCTGGGGACAGTCACATTTTTCTTACTTTATGGTCGGAGCACCTTCTGGAAACTACTGGTAGTAATGAAAACTGTCTTTCTAGTTTTCTGCATTAAATTTCTCAAGGATTCAACACTTTTCTTTATGCCTTTCTCCTACATGTTCTTTATTTCCCCTCAATAATTTGCTTTTTGGGAGTTTGCTGAGAATGACAGTGAGGGATGGAGTCCTCATTGATAGGGCAGATTTGTCAGCTGCTGCCAGCGTTTGCGTGGATCCTACAGGCAGAAGATGCCCCCGAGGACCGTGGCAGCAGCAGCGGTGCCTGCTGGGGGTAGGCCACTTTCCCACACCTCGGCCCCTGTGTCGCAGGCCCTGAGCTGCTCTTCTCTAGCCAATGCTGTGTTTCATGCACTCTAGAAAACCCTCGGTTGCTGGCTAGTGGAGAATTTTTTTTTTCTGCTTCACTGGAATTTCTGAAGGAATTTGAACGAGAATGTAGGAAGTTAAGCTTGGGGCAGACATGTGGCCTGGAGGTTTAAGAGGATTCCATAATGGGATCGCATCCTGACCTCATTCCAGACTTCCCGCTAAATGCAGACCCCCCAAGGCTCAGGCAGTTGGCCTTTGCCGGTCATAGTTCCAGTTGCCAGCTTTACTCAGCCCCAGCTAGTCTGACATTGGAGAGTAAAGCAGTGATGGGAGCTCTTTCTCTCAAATTTTATAAGCACTTTTGATGCCCCCAAGAAGCTTTGAAGAGTATTTTGTAGCTGGTCATAGTGCACGTTCCAAGGTGGGCCTGCTGTCTGAGTTTGCAGCTACTTCCCCTTCACTGACTAGAGCCAGGAGTCCCACCCAGGTCTCCAGCCAGCACTGATATGGGTGCCAGTGCCCCAAGCAAGGCTTGGCTGCTGTGCCACACCACCACAACACCAGCCCGTAAGACTGCTTAACTAGGAACAAAATTTGACCTAACATGTAACAAATTATATGTGACTATTCAAATCCTTGTGTGATTTCTGCATTCTGTCCTTTGACCTTTGCTTTGCAGGGTCGGTTCTGGACATTACACAGCATACGCCACCCACGAAGGCCGCTGGTTCCATTTCAATGACAGTACTGTGACACTGACGGACGAAGAGACCGTGGGCAAGGCCAAGGCCTACATCCTTTTCTATGTGGAACACCAGGCCAAAGCTGGATCGGATAAACTTTAATACCTCCTCCAAATCATCACTCATCAACTATAGAGGACAAGCATTTCCAGTTTTCCATAAATACTTGATCCAAGATTTAATTTCATTGTGCACTTTTCAATTTCTCTTTGGGGTTTAGTTTCATCAGTGGTAATGACTTACTGAACATGGGCACCAACTAATTTTTTTTGTTCTACCAGAAAACCTCAGCAGACATTTTGATTTGCTGCTTTAGTTGTAATTCAATTTTTATGTGTAGTTTCCAAAATTTAGTTCTATTTGACTTTTTTGTATTAATGTTTTCAGTTCTCACTCTGAGGCACATTTGCATACATGCTTTTGTTACCCTCACACGTTGAAAACAAGAAGTGTTGCCGGTCGCGGGGTGACGGAAGGGCCGCTGCGTGGAGGCTCGTGGGTTCCCCGCACACAGCCCTCAGTGCCTTGTGTGGGCTTCGTCCCGGCTGCCTGTGATCAGGGACCCGAGGGCATCACTGAGCAGACCAGGTAACCGCTCCTCTGCGTGTCTCTCAGGGCTGCTGTTCATCAGCACTAACTCAATAAACCTGTTGGTTCTGTTGTACCTGCACCACAAAGTCCAGCGTTACTGCATTGGTTGGTTGGCAGGTATTCTGTTTCTTCACAAGGGAGACGGGCTGGGAGCACAGAGAAGACCAGCTCCATTCAGGACGTGCCAGCTGAGACCTCCACCAGCAAGTGTGCAGCTGCTTCTCTGGGACCCCCTGCCTGCTGAGGGCGGGGTGCACACCTCCCGGGGCCTGTCCTGCCAGCGGAACACAGGGACGACGGTCGCGTGATGGGTATCACTTTGGACTGTAGCAGCCTGTTTTCAGAACTAGATGTATGCACTTTAAACCTAACCGCACCCCGCTGGAAGGCAGCAGTTAGGATTTCCAGGAGCATCCTAAGCCGGTCCCCCCCAGCCAAGCAGACTTGTGGGTAAAGAAATGATCGAACGGTGAGCCCCCCATGACTCCCCTCCTGTGTCTGACACGGGAAATTGCAGGCTAACGGGATGACTGCCCACATTTCCTCAGTAAATATAACCAACAAAGCTAAGAGGACAGGGATAAATACATCAGGTTTAAAGTTGTTATTCAACACAGTGGCCCCGTGAGGTCATGTTAAAGCTCAGTGCCTCAGTTGAGGTCTGGACATGGAGCTGCAGGATGGGGCAGACCTCTGACGCTCCCCACACTACGCCGAGTGCCCTGTGTGACACGGCGCTATCTTCCTGCCAGTGAATAGAGGCTTGCAGGCTCAGGCCTTAGAATGCAGCACCAGAGCCTTAACAGGAACGGTGTACAGTGCCAAGGCCTCTCCTGGATTGTAGGAAATGTTGGTAATGACTGTCTGATCGGCCCCTGTTGAGGCTGTGGCTGCGTGACTCCTGTAGCCAAGCCCTGGCCCCTATCCTGCAGAGGGCTTTGCAGGAGTGCCCCACTGCAGCAGCAGGCCCGGCTCTCTGTCCCCTTCCACCCAGTGGTGTGACCATGCCCACCTGTATTCTGAACCTGCAGCTGGGTGGCCTCAGCACACCTCCTGTGACGGCTCAGCTCTGCTCTCGCACTCCTGCCCTGTTGTCCTGGAATAAGAAAACCCTTTCAGAAGTCCTCCCCCTCAGGTGGGTGAGAGTCTGTGGCAATAGCACCCCCTCTCCATGGTGGACAGCCCCCCTGGGCTCTGCTCCTGCTGTGGAGATGAGATGCAGGCCCACCCTTCCCCCCACTTTCTGGGTGGGCACAAGTTTGCTCCTTACAGCCAGCCTCCCCCCCGCCCCCCGGCTGTGCACCAAGTCTACTCACAAGGGGGCATCCGCATTCATCCCTGCCCTCCATCGCGCAGCCCAAGGGCCGGGCCCCTGCCCCAGGTCAGTGCCGTCCTGGCTGGCCCTGCTGTGATGGAGTCCCTGCCGCCGCCCACAGGCCTGCAAGTACCTGATTCAAGTTGTGACCGCGTTACTGTCCAGCCTCACCAACCTGAATGTTTGATGCAAGGTTTCATTAAAGGTCTCCTTTCTTTCTCCTTGACTCATATTTCCTAACATCTCCTGTGGCATGTGCCTGAGCTGCCAGAACACAGGAACAAATCCTGTGGGCAGCCCGGGGCTGACTGCTGCTGTGCCTGGGCCCACAGGGCTACTCCGCCTCCCCTACCCAGCTGGGCTCTTCTCCATGCCCAAAGCTGCTTCCTTGGGGGTAAAGGGATTTTGTTATTTTCAAGCAGCAAACAAGTGCTGCTTTTAAACACCAGGCCTATTGCACCTCTGCCCTCACAGGAGGGTCAAGGAGCCATGGAGATGCAGGCTTGTCCCCTTTGGGAGGCTGGGAGAACTGAGCCCCACCAGCTGACAGCACCCCCCCACCATGCTTCACTGTTCCCACAGGGCACTGGCTCCAGGCTCTGAGGCAGCAGCAGGCCTCCACCCCTGCAAGAGTTTCCAGTGGAACGTCCTGCTTTGAGGGAAATGGGAACCCCCAAAGCTTTCTGCCCAGTGTGCCTGTGCAGTCGCAGCCCTAAGCAGCAGAGCGCTGTGGGTCACAGTGCTCAGTGGAGTCTGCCCAGCCACGGGGCCTACAAAGAGCAGCCCGCTGCCCCTCCATGCCAAATGCAGCAGTGGCTTCTGTCACTACACCCCCCAGAGCCAGCTGAAGCCACCTGTCTCCTCCGGCGGTGTGCCAGCCACATGGCCTAGTGATCCATTTATTCCAACCCTACTTCAATCCCATGGCAGAGGGCCTAGAGCCCTAGGAGCCGGGAACCTGCACTGCCAAGGCAGACCAGGCGAGCCAGGGAACCAGAGCCTGCGAACGAGGGACGACAGAACATATGCCCTGAGGGGCAAGTCTGAGAAAGCAGAGGCTGATTCCCAAGTTGGAGGTGGGGAGTGCTGGGGCGCTGCTTGGGGGCCAGTACAGTTCGAGGTGTGAAGCCCCCTATCAGGAAAGAGGTGAAGCCAGGTGAAGGGACCCAGGCATAGAGGCAAGTAAGAGCCTGGGGAGGGCAGGTCCGGGGAGGCTGTGGCCAACAAGTGCAGGCTGGAAACACTGTGCTCCAAGGCCACCGACTCTGTTTCTGGTGCTGCGGCACCCCTGTCCCCTGGTGCACCTGAGAATCACAACTGCTCTCCTCCTTCGATCAGCGCAGAGCCTGCCAGCAGGGGCATGCCAGGAGTATGTCCTGTGTGCCACTGTGGACTCCAAAAGACACAGAAACCCTTTTAAGCAAACTGAGGATCTACCACCAGCTGCCTTGTCGCCAGGATTCCCAATCCCTCCGACCATCAGCTGCACCAACTGCTACCCTCCCGGAGGCCTGCAGCCTGGCCTTTCTCCCCCGCCTCGGTGCCTCAGCAGCAGTTGCTGGCCAAAAATAAACCCCCATTCCTCAACCATATATGTCCACTGGGCCGGAGCGGGGGAGGAGCTGCAGCCGCGGGCGGGCAGCTGGATCGCAGCCCCCACGCACTGTCCTGGGCCACACTTTGCCATGCACATCACCCAGCTCAACCGCGAGTGCCTACTGCACCTCTTCTCCTTCCTGGACAAGGACAGCAGGAAGAGCCTGGCCAGCACCTGCTCATGCCTGTGGGCTGTGTTCGAGGAGCCTGCCCTCTGGCCGTTGCTGCACTTTAGCTCGCTCAACGAGCTGCGCAAGGACAACTTCCGGCTGGGCCCTGCGCTGCGCAGCCTCTCCATCTGCTGGCACTCCAGCCGCGCACAGGTGTGTGGCACTGAGGACTGGCGCCGCAGCACCTTCCACAGGACCCTCTGCAGCCGCCACGAGAGTCTGGTCAACGACTTTCTCCTTAAGGTGTGCGACAGGTAGGCACCCCCAGATCGCCAAGGCTGCACCTGGACACCCCTGGGCCTCCCTGCAGCACACTGTCCAGCACAAGGGCAAAACTGAGGGTGACACTAATCCTCCCCAGGGTTACCCTCGCATGGGCTACCCCCGCGCTGGGGCAGCAGCCTTCCCTGGCAGCACAAGGGAAATGCAAGGGAGTGGGGAAGTGGGTCTGTCCAAACCCCCAGCCAGCATGTGGGGGGCAGGGGCCCTGCTATCTTTCTCACACACACAGAGAAGGGTTGACGGCCGGACCACGTGGAGGACCCCCAGCTCCGCAGCTCTCCACCCAGGGGACCCCAGTTCCAGTCAAGAACGAGCTCATGTGCCCTCTCTAAACAGGATGAAGTCCCTCACCTCACCAGGCGGGGCAGTCCATTACACACCAGCACCTGGCAAGCAGGGGTCAACTCTGAGCCCAGTATACAGAGGTTCCCAGGAGAGGGGCCACCCACCACCCTTGGGCCTCAACATCCAGTGCCCTTCAGCACCCTGGAGGTGGCACATCTCCTCACCGACACACTAGCCCAGCAAGGCTTAGATTGGTCCTGGTCAGAGCCGAGTCACAGGAGCTCTCTATGGTACATTCCTCATGGACCAAACTGCAGCCTTGTACCTGAGGGCCCTGGGCATCTCCCTTCACCTCCCGAGGCCCAGCGGGGCACAGCCTGGGAGCTAAGACAAGGCAAACATCCTGAACACCTGACGGAAGCACCCCCCCATTCCAACTCCCACCAGCGGCCACAGGAGCCAAGGCCCTACCCTGGGGCACTCGACTCCAGTTTCCTGGACGCCCCCCCCCCTACCTGGAGAAGGCAGAATTATTATACCCCCCAGTCCTCACTGTAAGGCCCAACTGAGGTGGGTGGGGGACAGCCCAGGAGGCCCAGGGAGGTGAGTGGTACGGCCACCTGAGGAAGGGGGCTGGGAAAGGTGGCTGGCACGGCCGGACCAGAAGACTTCAGCCCCCTCCTCGGCCAAGCAGGGACATATGGATCCTTTGTCTCCCCAGCCGCACCTCAATTTCTGATTACAGCCCTGTGATAAAAGCGACACTGTTTCCCTGGCATTACTTCTCTGGCCCTCTGTCTGTGATGGACCGGAGAACCTCGCCTGGGAGCGCGCTCAATAAGGCCTACTCTGAGCCAAAATTTATTGGGGAGCGCTCCCGGGCGAGGGCGCCAGCGAGCCGAGCAAACACCAACAACCGCAAAGTCCAACTCTGCTCAAGATCTCCTGGCAGCAGGTCCCAGGTGGGGCGGCCCAGGGCCTTGCTGGGTGGGCAAGTCTTCCACGCCGGTGCCCTGGAGCACACGGTCACACCACGGCTCCAAGCAGCTTCAGTCTAGAGCCCAGAACCCACCCAGGGGCGTCCAGCCAGGGTCATTCAGACACAGACGGAAGCCAGGTGGGGGCCACCAACCACGCACCGCACTGCCTTCCCACCCCGCAGTCACAAGTCTGGAGAGAGGCAAAGGCCGTGGTGTCTCCTGGAGCCCAGGGTCTGGCCGCCCGGCGGTGTCCCACGCAGACTCCGGGTCGTGACCGAGGCCCCTCGGCCGGCCCGCCTCCCCGCGCGCTCACGGCGCTCTCCCCGCAGGTGCCCCAACCTGGCGTCCGTCACGCTGTCGGGCTGCGGCCATGTCACCGACGACTGCCTGGCCTGCCTGCTGCGCTGCTGCCCGCGCCTGCGCGCGCTGCGCCTCGAGAACTGTGCGCGCGTCACCAACCGCACGCTGGCGGCCGTGGCGGCGCACGGGCGCGCGCTGCAGACGCTGCACGTGGACTTCTGCCGCAACGTGAGCGCGGCCGGCCTGCACCGCCTGCGCGCCGCCTGCCCGCACCTGGCCCTGCGCGCCGAGCACAGCGCAGCCATGATCCCCGACCAGCCCCCGCGCCCCGCGGCCCCCCGCAAACTGCTGCCGCGCTGAGCCTTGCCCTGGGCCTCCTTTCCCGTGCAACGCCTACCTCACACCAGGGTTTCACCCGTAAGATGGACGTGACATTAAATGGTCAAATGCTTAGCAAAGGTGCGAGTGCTTCTCACTCAACGCTGGCTTGCCCTACCCCTCTTCCCCTCACCCACCCACGGGCCACCCGAGGGGAATAGGACCCCTGTAGCACAGCCCCCGGCCCATGCCAGCTGGCACTTCTGCTAGGAGTGACCACATTCGCCATTCCAGAAAATTCGCTACCATTGCTAATTTGGTTCTTACATAAACCGCAGCTGTCCATATTCCTAACCGTTCTTATAGAAGAAAACCCACGCGAAAAAGCCACGCGAGGTTTGCAAAGAAAAAGCAGTAGCCCCGGCCGAGCCTGTTGACAAAGCATCACTGTAAGCTGATAGAAAAGCTGAAACTTCACCTGTGGGGTTTGCTGGCTGTGGCCACGTGCCTGGACTTCCAGCGTCAGCTCGAGGGCTGCAGTCCGTTGCTGTCCACGGTGCGGAAGGGCTGAGCCCAGTGGCGACCTGCTGGTCAGCGAGCTTGAGGAGACGTGGGTCCTGACACGGGACCGGAAACGGAAGCACGTCTGCCAGGGAGCCGTGGCTGCGCTTGGCCCCACCCCAGCTGAGCCAGGTGAAGGGCCTTCCCTGCTCCTGCTCGCAGCTGCCTTAATTTGTTGCCAAATTAGGAAAAGGCAAGGAGGGCCAGGTGAGGCTTGTTCTGGGGCGCCCACTTTAGAGAGGAGGGGTTAGGCTGAGCTGTGTGACTTTCCCTCCACTCACACGTGGGCAAGAACTGCAGCTAGGTGATGCCGTGCCCAGTGTCATTGCTAAGGCTCAAAATTGGTCCCCCTGCCAATTTCATTGGCACAGGATCGCTGTGCGCCTTGAGCCAATGAGCTGTCTCCACTCAGCTTTCCAGCAGCCACTGTGCACAGGCACCTGGTGGGTGATGCCCTTGACGGGGTACAGCACCCACTCACTCTCAGGGCAGGTGTCCCAGCGGGCCGTGAACATGCTCTGTAGCCACCCCTGGCTGGTACCAGAGAGCCCGCGTTGGAGCCTGGCCTGGCTTCCAACCCCACTTCCTGATTACACAGCGGGTGATGACTCAAATAATTGGGTTTCTGTAATACACATGGGAGACCCAAACCAAGTTCCAGCTCAGGGTTTCCACCAGGCCCAGCCCTGACTGGTGGACATCTGGGCAATGAACGGTAAATGGGAGATCACTGACTCACATAAGAATTTACAAAAACGCAAAGCCAGCATTGTAGCATAACAGATAAAGCCATTACCGGTGACACAACATGGGCATCCCTATATGGACAGCAATTCGAGTTGCAGCTGCTCCACTTCTGATTCAGATCCCTGCCAATGTGGGAGACCCAGAGGGAGCTCCCGGGACCTGCCTTGGGCCTGGGTCAGTTGGGGTCATCTGGGGAGTAAACTAGTGCATGGGAGATATCTCTTAACCCTACCTTTCAGATAAATAAAATTTAAAAAAAAATTCTAAAAACAATTCTTAACAGTATTCACTCAGATTTGCATAGAACAAAAGGCCCTGAATGCTAAACCAATTCAGCAAACTCATCCACCCACAAGCATTTAGTAGATCCTGGCCACGGGCTAGGTCAGGCCCTACCTCCGAGCTGTGCCCTGGGCGCTCAGGGGTGTTCTTGATGTGTTGCCATCCATCCCTTCCAAGGAGTCAGGACCTCTCTGAGCCTGCTTCATCTGTAAAATGGAACTAACACACTCTCAATGTCATTGTCACTAGATTACACACGCAATCCCCAGAAGACATCGTCACAGCCAGGGTGGGGATCAAGACAGACAGGTGAGGCTAGAAAAGCTGAACACTTGGCCGAAGCCACAGGGCCCCAGGCTGGGCCTGTGAGTGGGCAGTCCTGCCAGCAGGCCCAGCTCAGCAAAGGCAGGAGTCAGGATCTCAGGACATATTGGTGGGAGGGCTGAGCTGGGGCTGGACAGTCCCATAGCCACTCAGAAAGGGATTGGGGAGGCACCTGTGCCATCTCAGCCTCTTGCAAAAGTTCATGGAAAATGTATATCATAAAAATGTGTGGTTTTTTTTCCAGTAAACTTGTCTTTCAATTACATTTTCCCGTGAACTCTTTGAAGCACCCTTCTATCAGATGCTGGAGCACTCACTCTGCCCATCTCAGTTTTGGACAGGGCACATACAGGGAAGGCTGGCAGGGGTGGGAGTGCCAGCCCAGCAGAAGGGCAAGAGGCGGGGCCTAGGGTAGGCCTGCTCAGGGCCTCAGGGCTTCCCCCACAGAGTGCCACTGTCCTGTGTCCCCAGTCGTGAGATTCCCGATTCTCCCAGGGGCCAGCAGCAGTGCTGTGAGGCTGGTGCGGCAAGACACTCTGGCAGTTTCTGTGCAGGTTGAATGGAGGGAAACTGAGTGAGCTCCCGAGTTCCCCCACAGCCTGCTGACAGGAATGCAACACCTCAATCCACTGCATTCCCTCTCCTGCCCTTGGCATCCCAAAGTCAGCTCACGCTGAGGGACGTGCCTTTTCCCTCTAGGATTCAATGTCTAAAACACGGCTCATGTTAAAATCTGAGCTCACCAGATGCCCACACCATTTGTCTGGCAGGGCTGGGCAAAAGCCATGAAGCTAGGAGGCCAAGAGCAAAGCCACACCAGAGAGTGAGGGGCCCAGGGAGCTTTGTGACGTTCTTTAAGGGTCACAAAAACTGCAAACCTTGGCTAAGGGAATGAGACCAGCAATGCGCCCACACCTCTGGAAAACAGAGGTGAACCAGAGGAAACAGCCACATGGGGGCCTGCTTCAGGCTGTTCCACTTACACGCTGAGGTTTCAAGCGTCAGGATGATGAACCCAGGACAGCCTCCAATACAACAGCTGCTGACCCTGGCTGGTGCTGAATGCTGGAGTGCCAGCCTGCCTGCAGAGGGCGCTCCCCGCCCCCACCAGTGGTGAAGTCAGGGCCTCCCAGAGCAGCAGGGTGCTAGGGTTATTCTGACCTGAGAACGGCTGGGAGCTGCACACTGCACATCATGGGCCAGCCTGCCAGGAGGGGAGAGCAACTTGTCCCGCGGCAGCAGCTCACCCATGCTGCCCGGGTGGCAGTGATGCAAAAGTGGCTGCTATTCCCTCAGCCAGAGGTCCATGCTGTGCCTCCCCAACCATGAGCGCTGCGGCAGGCACAGAGCCGGGAGCTCTCCCATCTAATTCATACTAAAGGTTCATCTCCACCCAGAAGCCCCCTGGAGGTTCCTGGAAGCTCTGGTCTCCCCTCTGAAATACAATTCCAGTAGAAGCCCTTTCTCAATGAAGATGTCACCATCTAAATATCAGATAGTCTCACTAGCAAGATCAACTTCCTGCCTCATCTTACACGAGCAAAGCCAATTTGTTCTTCCATGTACTCTTTGAAAACACATTCCCTTTGCCTTCCTTGAGGAAAACACGGCCTGCAAGGCTCTCTTGGCAGGACTCTCCTGTGAGCAGGCTCCTGGCAGAGACCTTGTCCACAAGGGACAGTGGTCCTCACTGTTGGTGCTGGAGACAAGCATCATGAGCTCCTGGCAGCCACAGCCTTGGTGGTGGTTCTACAACAGCCCTGTCCCTGAGCACACACGCTCCTGATGCTCCTCGATAAAGAAGCCTGCCACTGGGGTCAGCCAGGAGGTAGGCACAAGCATAGCGCCTGGATGACAGCCCGTGACCCAGCACTCCTGGATTCCCCTGTCAGCACACAGGTAGGTGTCCTTGGGCGCTGGCTGCGCTTCCTGCCAGGGACCAAGTGCAGCAGTGCTGGGTCCTGTGCTCTTACGCCTGAGCTGGGTTGTCTGTCTCTTCATGACTGTCAGTCACGGCCAGGCCCAGCCAGGCCTGTCTCATCCTGGCTCTCTCTCTCACCTGGTGGCACTGTGCCCAGACAGGGTATGCTGCTGCTGTTGTGTGAAGAAGGTTCAGCGAGGATGGGCGAGTGGCTACAGCAAGAAGCCTGCAGTAGGGAACACAGTGAGAGCGGCCCAGGACAAACAGCTGACAATCAGGGCTTCTGGGCCTGGGGGCGGGAAACCCCAGCTGTGGTGGTTCCACACAAAGCTCGCCTGCATGTGGAATGTTTCTGGGTGTCTCCCACAGCACCCAATGGTGCAGGCCCAAGAGCTCTGGTGTGCTGGCCACATCAGGCAGGAGCCCACGGGAAGGAACCCACGCGGCCCACACCCTGGCTCCTGAATTGGCTTTATTTCTCTGCATAAGGAACCCTGCACAGGCAATTCAAATTAAAACAAAATAAATATATGGGTATTCATGTAAAACTGTCCTTTCTAATGAACAATTATACACAATATACAATTTCATGTTCACTGGGTGGGCTTACAAAAATGTATCATTCCCAACTAAAAATGCACCAAAACGATTCCATGCAAACTTATCAAAAGCAACCAAAAATATGGAGGGAAAAACCTGACCGAGAGCACTTCATTTCTTTTTTTTGTTTTTGTTTTTGTACAATCACAGAAAAATAAAAACATCTAATTTCTCTGCTACATTTAGAAGAACTAAATGTGGCCACTGTTTATAATGTCGGTTTATGTCTCTAAAATATCTATGGAGTTACCATGAAAGTACTCAACATCACACTGGGAGTGGGCAGCACTGAGAGAAAAGCAGAGGCAGCACCCGAGGCGCTCAGTAGTCGGTGTCGGAGCCCTCGGCGTTGTCCACGTTTCTCGAGAGCATGTAGTTGTCCATGTCGATGGAGCGGCAGTTATTGATGGCGTAGCGCAGGCGCTCGGCCATGACCAGCTGGCTGGAGTAGGGAGGCAGCCGCAGCTGGAAGAAGCAGGTCTGTGAGGTAGGCAGACTGTCGTAAGGCTGCAGGGGAAGAGAACAAGCAGTGACTGTGCAGCCAGGGAGTAAGACAGCTCCTCTTCCTGCCTCAGGAAGAAGCACAGCCACAGGCAGACCCCACTACGCC